AAATGGCTGCAACTCCCCCTCCTCGGCCGCTGCCTCGAGGAATGTGGGTATTATTATGACTGGGAGGAGTGGATTCATTTAGACTAACATATTCATCTGGACACAGCCAGGTTTCGGTGAGACTGAGTAAATCAATATGATTATCTGAAATTAATTAATTTACTAAAAATGCTTTAGACGATAGAGACCTGATATTTAAAAGTCCACATTTAATTCTCATGTTTTGTCTTTATGTCACAGAAGAGGTTTTAATTTTTATGAGGTTGTTATGCACAAGTCCTCTTTGTTTAATTTTGGATTTAAAAATTTTTGCATATTCACACATCGAGGCAATATTAATTTTAGTGACCTCCGATTGGCGTAACCGGGTGTCATTGCCGCCTACGTGAATAACAATCTTACTGAATCTATGTTTAGCCAGCAGTTTTAAATTTGATTCAATGTTGCCTGCTCTGGCCCCAGGGATACATTTGACTATGGCCGCTGGTGTTGCTAACTTCATGTTCCTCAGAATAGAGCTGCCAATAACCAGAGTTTTATCCTCCGTACAGGCTACAGGGGACTGGCTAACTACCGCAGCTACTGAATGATTTTCCATGGTGCGGAGCAGCGCTTCTAATTCACTAAGCCTCGCCTCCAACGCAGCAAATAAGCTACACTTGTTACAGTTACCACTGTAGCTAAAGGAGGCAGAGGCATAGCTAAACATTTGGCACACCGAGCAAGAAAGAGCAGAGGGAGAAGCCATTGCTAACTGTAAAGCTAATGTAGCTACCAAGGCTAGTAACGTGCAAACAACAGCTCAGAGATTAGTAGGGAAGTCGTAAAAAGGAGGAGAGCTATAAGTGCTTAAATAGAACTAGTGTGGGTTAAGACTTGAAGTAGATGTTAAAGCAACTGAAGTGAAAAAGCAAAAAGCAGGCTAGTAGAATTCACTAGAGCAGTACAGAGACGCTGTCACAGAAACACCGGAAATAACACAACTCGCTTACCGCAATACGTCAGCACGTCAGCGAAATGCCTGTTACTGTTTTTGTTACTGTTGGCCGTAACTATGCCAAAACAACCAACAAACAAGAACTTAGCTGTAACTCCAACAGTGCACTTCTGCTCTCTCCTCCAGCTCGCTCATACACACACCAGCACGCGCACTCACACAGTTCTCATCCCCGTCACACTCACACCCTGCCCCCCTACCTATACTCATTCAATCCCAAACATGCCATTAACTCACAGAACATTGACATTATAACAGAACATTTACTGCAGGGTCGCTACAATTTCGTAACATGGTTTAGATTCCTAAATAAATATTCACCTCATCGCTAGATAGGCCTACTCCTGAAAAACTTGAAAAACCCGTGGATGATGCCATCTCTGTCTGCGCAAGGCTTTCTGTCCTACGAGACCACCGTCACTTACCCGACGGGAGGGGTGAGCGAGTGAGCACGAGTGAGCGCTGCAATCTAGAATTTGACCGCTGATGTCACTGTTACTCACCATTTTTACACACTGAGGCTTTAAAGTTAAAATACATCAATCTGGTGCTCTTCGAGAGCAAATTTAGGAGGCTAGATATATGAAGAACTTCATGTTTCTGTAAACAATTTTGGCCACAGTAAGCTAAATATCTAAAATATGCATTAACCAAGCTAAAAAGGCCAGAGAATGTCATGAGCAAAAGTCCCCACTTTGCTTAACAAAGTGACAGTGTTAAAAAAACAAACAAAAGCAATATAGGCTATATGTTAATAGGTCAGTATTAATATTTATTGTTCCAAGTTTTCTATTTCCACTCTGGTTTTAAAACAGTTTCAAACAGAGAGATGGTTTATAACCACACTAAACACATATCCTAATGATGATTTTGGCTGCATTTTAATGGTGTAAACTTTATTTTATCCTTAGAGTGACAGCTGACAGTGTGGATGATTTTACACTCTGCCACACTACCCCTCACTGAACAAATGCTTCTGTGTGATAAAATTGAAATGTATGTTGGAAGTGAGATTGTTCTTTTTTGCTCCTCTTTGTTGGCCATTTGCCATGTCCTGACTTGTACGCAATCATATTTTTATCTGAATGATACTTTGCTTTAACCCTATTAAAACAAAAGATTGATAAGTTGGAGAATTCAATTTTAGTTTCAACTCTCTAACATGTAGCCATACTGCCATCTTGTGGCGGAGTTAAGAAGAGTTACCGCAAGGAAGTCAACTTTATATATTTTGAATGAAGATATAATAAGGGATTATTAATCAACTTGTTGCATGAATACGTGCTCCTTCATTTTGTTTTTCATTA